GGGGGGGGAGGAAGAGAGAGAGGGGGGGCCTGACAGGTGGATGTATGGGCTTGGCCATGTTTTTGATTAAAAAGCTTTTATAGCCAGCCTCTACATCATAGCGCGTCTTCGCTCCCCTCCATCAGCCGCCTTCTCTATCAGCCAGTCTAGCATAATGTACTTTTAATGCCAGAAGTACCCCATCAGAAACAATCCCATGCTGAAAAAGCTGGTGAAAACATAAAATGTCTTTCACGTTATTTACATACAGTTCTATTACATCTTTGTTGATTTGCTCTATCCATTAGATTTTGGACCTTCCATGTGGTCTGTTGTCTACCATTGAAGCATTCATTGTTGTATTTAGATACGGATTGCTCCCAGCCTAGGATGCTCAGAAGGCGGTTTTATAGCTCGAACACCGCTATCAAACTTTTAATATTATGACGGGTTTTTAAATTTTCGAGGGGGCACATTTCAGAGGTGTTATGAATTTTCGTAATGAAAAGTTTCAGAATAAGGGACAAGGAGAAAACATGGAACATACCGCACCAAATATAATTGTGTATGACCTACGATTTTTCCCATTCTACTTCTCCTTGCTGTGTTTTTATAAAAATGTGAGCAATAAAATATCTTGGGAGAGGAAGGAGGTAGGTTCTTGCGTCATCGACCTTGGAGAGGATGGGCATTCATACTCCCAGCTACATCTTAACTTCCTACTATTCAAATGCTGTTGTTGAGATAGAACTGTGGGCTTATTATCATTTTTTTAAATTTTCATTAACTTATAGGATTACTTCCCTTATCAAAATCTCAGGGAGTTTCTTAATCTTCGCTTGATTGCTTCTACGGACAACTGTATAATCTTCATATCCAAGATTTATATGACTCCTGTGATTGATTTTTCTGAGCTTAATACTTATATCACCTATTTTTTAATTATAACGCATACAACAAATACTAAACAACAGCGCATGCATAGAAACAATTATAACTATAAACGTTTTTATTTTAACTCGTTATCAACCATCACCTAGTATCACATAGTTTAACCTCTTCCAGAGTAACTTCTGTTAAAAGGAATGGAAAAAAATCGTCTTACGTCTAATATCAACTGCAGAATCCTCTACTAACATATTGTGAAGGCTCCTCAGTTATGATGGTTTTATGACAAATGCCTAGTTTATACAGAATTTCTTTATAGTATTTTTAGAATCAATGAATAGTAAGACTGAAACATCTACAGCTGAGAACAAGCTTATATGCATTCTAATTCGCCATTAATTATAAACCCCCACAAGTGAAATCCTCCATCAAGCTGATCATAATTAATTTTAAATTAAATCCATCGAAGGTTTCCGCTTATAGAGGGTTCGGGTGACATTATAAATTCCATAAAATGATGACAATAAATTAATTAAAGCCAGGAACGACGAGTTTTATTTTTCGCGGGATTATTTTGAGCGGGAGCCGGTGAGGTTTATAAACGGAGGCCGCGCCATGGGCCCCATAAATCGAGATCCGGCTCAGTGGGCTATTCAGCTCAACGCTGAGAGCTGGCATTGTGGTCTCTGTACTCGGCATAATTAGTCATCATTCATCTTTTATATCCTCTAATTGACTGAATTATTGTCGGCTCACGGATCGGTTAGAGGAGGCGATTTGTTTTTCGAGTCCTGTCCAAAACTCACCGAGTTGGGGGACATAAATCATGAGTGCCGTGAGCTTCAGTTAGTAATTTAAAAAATAAAATTGTAAAGAGAATGATATAACGGTCAACAAATATTTTAAAATTCTTTTTTAAATAATGGAACAACTAGACAATTGGTTATTTGTTTTTGTTAAGTTTTTTTAGGTCTATTCGATTCATCTTCAACATAAAAAATTTCTAATTTGATTTTAAATAACATCTGCATGAACATAAAATTTGAATTACTAAATTATTGTTAAAACACCAAAACTATTATAACTTGAATGTGTTTATAATAATAAAATATTATGCAGAGACAATTATTTTATTGTATTATGTTCGAAAAATGTCAATTTTAATAAATCGCAAAGCTTTTTATAAATTCTAGATACTTTTTTCCCATCCTCTACTCCCTCATACTTCATCATGAAACGCCTCAGTCTCCAAAACCGCTTGTCCGGTTTGAACCAACGCTGGAGGGAAGATAGGAATCGGTAAAAGAAATTATAGTTATTAATTGTTATCAAATTTCATCCACTACATTCATATAGTGCTTTCACATGTGTGCATACGTATTTTCCTAGATGCACTAATATCTTTTTTCTATTTTTCAATAAATCACACCATTGGCCAGTTAGTAAAGGCACGTTTCCAGCCCTCCGGTTTTTTAATCTTTCCTTACTTTTGGGTAATGTATATATTACTTTTTATTTTGTGTAAAATGGATTCATATTTTAATTCTTTTGGTTAGTTTAATGTAAAGTTTGGTTAGTTTTTTTTTTAAACTTTTACAATTATTAATTATATCAGACTCCATTCAAGCATCTTTGCATAAATCCACGAATGTATAGTACACAAATACATACAGCAAATCAGTAAAATGCATTTCATTCAGTTGAATACGTTTTTGATAGTTTTGATTTTTGGAAAATTGTATATGCAAATGTGAAATGAATTAATAGATTATCGTAATATTAGTTTACTATTTTATACGTGTTAAATGCATGTTTACAAATTGTGATTGAAATAAGGCTTATGAAGTATTTCACGCACTGTTAACTCAACGAAGTCCAACCTTTAGACACTGTTTTAAAAAAATGATGAGGTTGTATGAATAAAGGATACCGTAGTGGGAAAGAGAGCGCGGACATATGGTGATACAGTTTGAGACTTGGGTTTGAGTTATGAGCTGAAGGAGGGTGTGCCGTGGTATTGATTTAGGGGTTGCATGTCGGATAAACCCGGGGGAGGAAGGGACAGGCAGGCCTCGAACCCTTGGCACAGATCCTATCCCTTAATCCAATTATATTCTCTCCCACTCTCTCTTCCACAGTCGGATAATTAGTTGTCATACTTGAGACTTGGGGGAGCCACCTGCGCTTCCAACTTTTTGGATCGACGTCGAAGGATTTATCGTCCCAGGACAACTCGAGGAAGATTATGCTGAAACTTTTCTCTTTATTTAAACAAACCTTCAAACTTTTTTTTTCTCTTTTACTCCTCTTTCTTCTTCTCCTATTTTTTTTTCGTTCCATTTTTTTTATTTCTCTGAAGAGTGCTTTAGGAGTAAATGGAAAAAGTTGAAGTTGACATCAAAAAGCTATTCTTATTCTTATTTATAATAATGGTAAATTATTTAAGTTAAAATACTTTAGCGTTTTTTGTTTTTTTTTACTTCAAGTAACTTTTCTGAAAACATAGTAACTATTTTCTACTTCTTAGATCCCATTGGGGATTCCACCAACAGATTTTGAGAATTACACAGATAAGTAGAATATCATCAAAAGAAACTAGCTAATACTAAATTTAAATAATTTTAAACTCGGACCTGGGCCCATGGGTCAAAATGAAACGAAAGATTTTAAACATGAAAATACTATACTCCACTTTTTCCAAATCAAAATTGCAAATCAGACAAAAACTAAATACATACATATACCTACTTAAACCCATTTGGACATCAGAGATATACGGTTAGGCAAAAAAGACTCACTTACAAAAACTACAAGCTTACCTGCCATAAATGTTACAACTAATAACAGCATCTCCCTGGTATGTGAAGAACTAAACATTATAACCACTTATGACAACCAACACGTAGGTAATCTTTACTCACGATTTCAGATTAAGTTACAAGAACACAACAACAGACTCATAACTGACATGGCCACCGTTGACATGTCTATTAGAAGGAGACTGAAGAGGAGCTGGATAAGGGACCTCCTTTATGAGGTCATTTTTCATATAACCAAGACCAGGAAGAGGTGCCGCTGTGTGCTATCCTTACTCATGCCTGTCATGCCATTACGATCTATACTTCCACCAAATCTGCTTATTGTCACTCTGAAGAGGTGAAGAAAAAGAAAAAAATATATTTTTGTCAAACTGAAGACGCATATGTAATGTACCTCTATTGGATCCTAAAATCTCCAAATCACAAACCTTAAATATTATTGTTAAAACTGCAGAATAAATATAAATTTACTACGCCTTTTATCCATTATCATTATACTTTAGGACCTACAGGATGCGTAGCACTATATAGATATACATTTATAAAACTCAATGAAAGAGTAAAAAACAACTACTAAAAAAAAAGAAAATTATTGTAAATTGAAACAGTCCTGTAGTACCTTCACTGTTTCAATTTACATTGAAGATTTTCTTACAGTTATCTTCACTATTTCAATTTATAATAATCTTTTTCAATTTTTTCAATTTATAATAATCTCCACTATAATAATATTTGTTTCGAAAATAGGCTGAGTTATTTTTCTTGGAGTTTAATAAAAGTGGAAAAACGGAACCTTTGAATGCAGTTAGATGAATGGCCGTGGATACCACGTACACGGTCCTTTAATAATCTCCCACTTTTCCTTATTGAACATATGTACAGAGCATAAAGTTTGTTTACTGAAAGCTTTTTATCTATGTATTTTCAATGGAACAGTTTTTCTGGTCAGATGTTATTGTTTTATTTTTATTTTTTTGTAACACTGTTAAGGCACTTCGTTCCAGAATAATGTTAATTTCTATCTATCTATCTATTTAAAACATATACAGAAGTAGGTATTTAACCGAAGTCCAAGTTTATAAAAGCACTGCGAAGTAGTTCATGGAGTACTTGGTAAGGTTTGGATTACTTGTGTTTGATGTTGTTTATTTTTATAAATACATTCCACCCCAAACTTTGCAGAACTCCCCTCAACTAGGAAGAGGCTGGACATTAACAAGAGGTGGAAGAGTAAGAGGTAATGAACATTAGGGAGCAACAGGGCTATATCTCAAGCGAGGGCATTAGTACTAATGGAGGACAGTGTCCAGGGCGATGATGGGTGAGGTCGGGAAGGGCGTTAGTCAGTCCGGGGGCTTAATTGACTTCGCACTTACATCGGCTATCGCAGGGCGGCGAGGATCTGCGCAGCGTCAAAGCCCTCCGGAGCCTGGCGTACGTCAGGAAGAGGTCGAGGATCGTTCCATTGGGTGTTCTATTGTGAATGGGAGGGGGTTTGGAAATGGACTGTCATGATGGGAACCATCTTGCTTCCCACAAGGAAACACAAATCTTCATGAATCGGGACGATTTCAAGAAAATCAATTTTCCAGATTCATGAAATATATCGTCATTTATCGTAAAAAAATTACACATGTGACTTTCAAATCATTCGAAAGTAGAATATTAGGTTTTTATAGTTTTGTACAAAATAAATTATACATTGAAGGAATCAAGAATTTATGTTGCCTCGGGGTCAACATATTCTAAATCTTTTCAAGATGTAAATATTCTATTTATTTGTTGTTCCATCAAGATTCAGTCTGTTTTGGTTTTATTCTTGATTGCATTATTTTATACTAAGGCGGGGAGAAGTCTGTTGCGATTTTGAATTGGGTTAAAGTGAACTTAGTCAAGAACTAATCCAAAGTCCTGAACCAGCTGGCAGCCCTTGTTATTTAATTTGAATACATATTTGTTCCTATAACTTCATTTGAATCACGCTGCTAAAAAACAATAGTGTCATGGTGAATTAAAACAGTCCCTTACCTCCTTTACTTACTCGATGCTTAATCGTTACTTTAATGAATTTGCCTAACAGACTGAAACGACAAGAAACCGCTCAACCTTTCCGATTACTTCAGCACATACTAGACAAACGCTCTAAACTTCCAATTATTTACAAAACACTCATATACATGACTATGATAAGGCGTATTTGGACTTACAGAGTTGAGCTAGGGGGCTCCACTAAACCATCGAATTCTTCTCGTATCCAATCCTTACAATCCAAAATCCTTCGTAAAATCCTCAATGCTCCCTACTTTGTTACAAATAAAAGCATCCATAATGACCTTGATGTTTCTTATGTTTCATATTTGGCCAAATCGGTACCTATCCTATCGGTACCTATTAAGGTACCTGTCCTTCCATAATAAACTTCAGAATCATCCCAACCCTCTCGTTTCTAACCTTGCTTCGTCTTCAATTCCTGATAAGCCTCCGAGATGTCTGAAAAGAAGATGGCCTATTAATCTAATAATGTAGACATACCATGGGGTAGTTTCTCAACAAGTGTTTTCACGTAATTATATCCATATGTTCATATTCACTAAATGTATTTCTTTAATACAGTTGTAAATATTATTAAAAAATAAAAATAAAATGTCTTTTCCAACCAATGTTTAAGGGAAGAAAAAACCTCGAATTGGCTCATCTTTCATTGAGTTTCATTCAGTTTTGAAAACTATTTCTAAATATACTTCAATATTTACATTTCTTTTTTTTTTTTGAACTACACCTTTTATAAAATATATCGAACTGAATCGAATTAAATTTGATAAGTTGATGGATAGCTTTTGGTGATATTATCCATCAAAGTCATCCCTGCTCGCTCCTGGTTCTATATTACATTGACTCTTGACTTCGAGGCATAACTCTTTCAGAAACTGGTGCAGGTTTCGTAGGTCTGTTGGTAAAAATACGGCCTGGCCGATGGCTATGAATAGAACTCCTTTACAAGCATTTCTATTTAAAAAGTTTTTTTTCTTGGAGAACTTGACTCTCCTGTGTAGAAGAAGATTTATCGTCGGGGTTCTATCGGGATCAACGACTTTAAATTATTTGGATCGACTATTTATGTAATAGAGCATAATCGACCAAGAAGTTCAGGTTCAGTTAATACAAAACTGGTAAGGGAGAAATACTTGATTGATGATAAATTTGAATAGAAATAGTAAGAAGCAGTTATTAATAAACAATTTAAATACATTATATATCTTCTTCCTATCGACTTCAAAAAAACTGTACAACAAAAATATATATAGATCTTTAAATAAAATTTGAAAAATAATATTAATAAAATCCTTATTCATCACATTTGTTTCTTTTCTTTTAAATTGATGACTGTATTTCGATTAAAGACAACCAATAAACGTTGTTTTATTTATTAATTTGATCACAGTTTATGGTGCCATGTACAACTATATAGTTCTGAGGCACCGCGTACTAGTTACATAATTTGAATCATTTCATAAAGATTGTTGCTCTTCAAAAACTAGAATGCGTTCTTCTGACTTTATTAATGTAAGGCTTGACAGTAGCTAATGAGATATAACGAAGTTTTAGATGAACACAATGACACTGTCATAACTTCAGCCTTTTTGTGAAGGAATCCTTTTAAGGAGGTTTCCTTGTGACAGTTTTCTGTATCTAGTCCCAATAGTTTTAAATATTACCCGAAATAATCTCCATTTTATTTCATATATTTTAAATAAATTCGGGTTTATATATAATAAAAATAATAAAAACTAGTTCTTAATCTTAAAAATCTTAAAAGCAAATAGTTAAAATCTTAAAAACAAAACAATAGAGAAATAGTTGACTATAGACAATATAGTTGGGGGTGACAGTCACAGTTAATATATATATATATATATATATATATATATATATATATATATATATAGAGAGAGAGAGAGAGAGAGAGAGAGAGAGAGAGAGAAAGAGGGTGAGTGAGAGAAAGAGGTGGAGAGATGAATTGATCGATAGATATAGCTAGAGTTGTCCAAAAGCGAGACCGAAACGAGTTTTGGTCTTGTAAACTCGGTCCTGTTCATGGTCTTGGTCTTGCGCAAGAGTCTCACAACAGTCTTGCAGTTACTTATTAGTGTATTAATATAGAGATATTACTGTAATTTTTTGGATAGAAGAAACCTAACTAAGCCCGAATGAAAAATTAGAGGAGTTAAATGCAAAAGTATATTGGTTATACCCATTATTAACATATAATAACTAAAATTGTAGAGTATTAGTAACTATCTTGCCTTAATTTTTATTTTGAAAATCTATTTTTTTTTTACCAGTCTTGGTCTTGGTCTTGCAACAGTTAGGCGGCCTTGGTCTATTTTGTTCGATTTTGGGCAACACTATAGCAATCGTTGGACATCAATCAAACATAAACGAGTAGGCTTGATGAAGATCTGAAAAGTAGGCCGAAAGGTTAAGAACATGTATATACGTTTTTTTTATTATGACTGGAACCTCCAAGCAACTTCCCAATCGCAAGATATATAGTTGCATAGTTTATTACTTTCGTGAAACTTTTCTATCAGGAGTTCATTGGCGTTTTTGTTCCAAAACAGTCCTCTCCAGTTCTCCCCAGATCTTGTGATGCTCTTGCATTCTTCCCTCCGATAGACAAAATGTTATTTCAGATATGACGGAAGCCTGTTGCTGTTGAATTATCCGCCGTCACGTAGAGATGATTGAGCCGGCATATAGCGTGCCCGATCGCCATAACTCCCCTCACGTGAGCTCCGGGATTGCTAGACACCCCTTGTATTACCCCCCGCGGGTTCCTTCCTATGTGCTTTCTGATAAGGCTCGGTATCAGGGCACGAAGCCCTCTATAACCCTTTGGACCTTCGGGTTAGGGTTCGAAAATCGCTAATGATGTATCGATTGTTTTTTTGTTTTTTTTTATTAAAAAACGAAAAATAAACGACTTGTAAAATGAATCTAGACCGACCTACCCACCCTGATTGCAATTGGGTAATAATATACAACTATGCTGCCCTAGTAGGACATGTATATATATATATATTGGACTACACAAGTTTACAATGCTTTTAACCAATAAAAATTCATTAAACTAACCAATAAAATAATAAAATTTCTGTGGCTCTCCAGTCATACAGGAATATCAGGAAGTAAACTGGTAGCACCCACCATAATTCCTGTATCTGATATTAACCTCGTGGAACGTACTTCAATATATACAGTTTTGTACCAATGTGAAGAAGCCTGGTGCAATTTTTGGTCAAAGGTTTCAAGTACTAACAAAATGAAAAACATTTTTGATGGAATCCACCTCTACGGATACGAGCAAACCTCTGTGAGCAGAAAGGACTTGATAGGTTTATATATTCACGTAACTAAAATAATGTTACCAAAAAAATAAAATAATGTCCTTCTTAAAAGAGATGAAAAATATTTCATATTTTTTTTACTTTACCAACACCATAATTGTTGCAATTTACGAGAAGGCATTTTTTTTTCTGAATCGTGTCAGTCAGTAGTAACTCAATGCAGTAGAGCAGTATTACAATTTTATTGTAGTTTTCTCAGTCTCAGAATCAATATTTTTAAAATCGTTAGTTAGAATGCAAACCCTCTTTAGACGATCATAATTGAACTGAGGAGTTTCCGCGAAGTCGGTCAGATTGCGTAAAATCCTTCGCACGATAAACTGAAAAAAAAATGAATATTTAATAGTTGACCGTTGCATTATAAAGGAAGAAGATGGTACGGGGTTGCGGTCATAAATAGGCTAAATAGTGGTAAAACTATTTTGGGTTCTAAGTGAAACTCCTAGATGAGCACACCTCTCTGATGAAGACCTGCAAAGTCGGGTCGAAACGTCGGCTTTCAATAAAATAGTTTTACCACTATTTAGCCTATTTATGACTGCAACCCCGGACCATTTTCTTCCTTTGAAAAAATAAATAAATAAAAGTTTTTAAAGAACTGTAAATCTGACAAAGGAATGCTGCCCCTTGCCTAATGCAGCGGTAAGTGGCATCACAATGTTAAATAAATAAATAAAATGAACGATATGGGATGAGGATACTAAAACATGGAGGGAGAGGACCAATTAAGAACTGCTTACAGAAAAGATCAATCAATACTTCGTCCGATGAAAGCAAGGAGGTTAAGATGGGCAGGACATGTAAGCTGGAAGTAATCCACCAGGAAGCTTCTTCACAATAGCTCAATAGTTAACAATCTCTTGCTACGAAGTGGAAGCCCGAAAACCAGATATCAGAATAAAGATATATCACGACTGAATATATCAAACTGGAAAGCAATTGTCGAAAACAGGTAGAAGTGAAGAAGATTGCTTAAAACGATCATGATATTTCAAACATAAATAAAATGTTTTCTGGATTATATCTATTCGAATTTGAAGAAGAATTCAAGTAAAAATTGTCCCAATCAGAATTATAAAAAATGGCTCTTAGCTATCGCCATTTTTTTTTTATGACAAAATATGTTTCATCATTTCTCATATTACATTTGTCATTCTCTCTAATATTCACGAGAAGACGTTTCTATTTTGTTTATTTGGTCTTAGCGTTTCTATAAACTCAAACTAGAAATTCTTAATTTTCGAATAAAAATATAATTTAGTGTTAACATTGTTTTCAAGTTCATAAACGCACGTCAAACCACAATGAATGCGTTACCTAACAGTACTTTTCAGTGATGTATTAAACGGACATAATATGGAAGTGACTGCCATTTCATTCATTTTCTAGCAGAAGATTGCAAATGATCAGAATGAGATTGAACGGTTGCAACTGATTCCTGTTTCGTTGTCATTCGGTCATTATATGGTAAGATGTTTTTTCATGCTCAGTCATTACCAATAACCATCGACTCATTAGCATACTCATTTCCTAAGTTACTGAAACCGTGGACAAATAATAAAGGGAGTTTTGATTTCTTCTTAAAAGCGTAACAAAATTAGAATATCCATTAGGAGTTCTAAAACAATGCTTCTTAACTGCTTCAAAATAGCTTAAAAGACTTCACCTGCATTTAGGCTGATAGATAAGAAATATCTAAATGCTCTCTCCCTCCATCTTATTCAGTCTTTTCCTCTGAACTCTTTGTCATGCATTTAGCCTTAGGTATATTTATAAATGATGAAATGGACTATAATCGTATTCCGATTCTTACTCAGTCCTCAAGTTAATCGAAACTTTTATATTAAACTTTTATAACATCCCCATAGTACAAAATCGCGAAAGTTCCAAGTTGTAATGAAAAGAAGGTTGCATGTTAAAATGAAAAGAAAAACTGAACAAGCGACTGAAAATACTATACTCACTTTATTTCCATATCAAAACTGAAAATCAGACAAAAACTAAACACATACACTTTCCACTTAAACCCATATGGACATACGCCTCAAAAATTTACGGTTCTGCAAAAAAGACGCACTTACAAAAACTACAACCATTTCAATAAAAAATTTTAAGACTAATAATATCCTTGGTAGTTAAACAACAAAATCTTACATACACACTTACGACAACCAACAATCGACCAACTCCCGATTTCACCTCAAACTACACGAATATCACAACAGACTTATTAACGACATGGCCACAGCTGTAATGTCCATCAGGAGCCGACTAAAGAGGAGCTGGATGAGAGATCTCCTTTCCTGGAGTAAGAAAGTAAACCAAGACCAGGAAGAGTCGCTGCTGGGTACTACTTTTCCTCTTGCATAAAATGCCAATTTGCTTTACTTTAACATCACATCTGCTTATTGTCAAGACTACGACAGGTGTGAATAAAAATATGAAGAGAAAAGAAAAAAGTCTATATTAATTAAGTTGGTTTTATTTTGCAAAAAAGTTGACAACCTCAAGTTGTGTGAAAAAATGATATCATTATATATATATATATATTCTGCCATATAAAAATACCTGTGTTTTCAGCAATGATGACTATAATAAATTATCGCAACTCTTTATTTATCCGTTTTCAATGACTTCGGATGTATTTCAATAAATATAATTGCAAAAATAAACTTTTTATTTATATAAAACAAAAATGATAAAAATGATGATTTTTCATATGTTTGTCATGTAAATTGATTATGAAACTGTGTTTGCCACCCAGATCTCTAATATTGGAAATTATCCCTATTTATAAGTAATGAACTTTATGTAGCTGATAATTTTTATTTTCTGGTGAATTTTAAATAGTTGCTAGACTGGATGAGCACGGAAATGTGCATAAAAAGAATAGCCGTGGTGGATAATAATATTTAAAAAAAAAACAAACAAAAAAAAAACAGAAATTCAAAGTGATAATAGTCCCAAGAATTATGCTTTTAAATAAACTGAAAATAGTCCATTGAGTTTGACCTATTTCGTTACAGAGACAAAATAGCCAAGAGGCCAGAAAATCATTGATAAAGGGAGATAAGGAGGGAGAAGGATAAGTTAGCCTAATTGCAATAATGAGCTTAACCATTACCAGAGCTCGCCAGCGTCGCGAGGGACCTCAGTAATTTATACATGTTGAGAGGGACCGCTAAACCTCTCCGCACTCTTTTACCTTGATTTAGCCTCCTGCCTTATTCAACCCTGCCTGGGGATTCTACGTTTCTTTGAATGCTAATAGGAATTTATAACTTTTAATAAGAATTATTTTTATTTACTAAGCAATAAAAATATACATATAATAATAAACAACGGAATTAATTACTAGAGAAACGATAAAACTATTTAAACAATTTATTTTTACTTGTCTTTCGTACTGCTATATTCAATTATCTTATGTATCCATGAGCTCAAATACATCACTTTTCGTTGGTTAGGGGTGGTTATGGGTGGTTAGGGTACTTTCCTGTAAAAATAAAAATCAGGTGTGCTGCGGGCGTTTTCCTGGGCGTTTTGTGGTCTAGTCGTTGTTGGGCAATGTATATTTAGATAATTTTTAGAAGCTTGGGTATTTTTTTTTTAGGAAGTAGAAGGTATTGCGAGGATTAGGTATTTAGGGTCTGAAATTCTGGGCTTAGTGAGAAAAGAATGCCTAAAACGATGCGCATTCTGGACTGACAAGCGTCCGAGGAGTCGACCAAAGCAAATGTGGAAGGATTCCGTTAAGGTTAATTTGGCAGGGTTGGTTTTTGAAGGCAGACGCTGGATGGAAGAATGTAGACAGCGATTGGTGGTATCGGCATCGAACCATCGGGTTCGTCAAGTCTTATTATTATATATTTCATTTATACGTAAGTGGAAGTAAAAAATTAGTTGTATAGTCTGTTTGGAGTAGCTCTAATCTCAGGTAATTTTTATTACGGTGAGAAATATTCACATTTGACCAAGAAGAATATATTTCGAGCATATTCAAATTTTAAGTCAGAAAAAAGAGAACTCAGGGTTTCTGTATGTAAACTGAATGTATTAGAAACGTCAAAGTGACTGAAGAAGAAGCATCAAGAATGTTAGTCTTTCAAAACTCAAGTAATTATAAGAAATCTTTAGTAACCCTAGGTTTCACGAGGATAGTTTAGCTGTGTATTGTGCATAGAATTGATGAGTTGTAACATTAAAAAATGGTGTGTGTTTTGTGTCTGATTCCATTTTTTTTTTATTCGACGATGCAAATTAATATATATCTAACTTTTTTTTAATACCACTATATAATATATCTAAATGTTTTAATACCACGATGAGGATCAACCTGTATGTGAAGTCAACTAAAAAAGTTCTCAAAAAATGTTGGCTCACACGGATAGAGTATGGATCAAAATGTAAAAAGAATGGTTAGCAAGAGCCACATCATGAAAGCATAAGAAAAGGGATCAAGGACCTAAATAGACCTTGAAGGAAAGAATTAAGAAAGGCTTAAACAAGAAAGGTTTGGATAGCAGGAAGAGAAGATAACTTGTCCAGAGAAAGGACGCAGGTATTGGGCTCCTCACGCGGCTTTGTTTTAGGAAGAATAGATAAAGAATAACAAGAAGAAGAAAGGTTCTAAAAAATGAACAGTAGTGGATCTGTTATTGATGACTGTGCATAACTACCAATGACGCAAATAGGACTAATGTATTGATTATAAATATTACTATCCATGAATATTTTTAATTTTTTACTGAAGATATCAAGTTCTTCATAAGAACAGAACACAAGTTATTTACTTATTAAATAAATAATGTTTCTTTAAGGAACTGATCGACGACCAATGCTGATAAATTATTCATTTTGATTGGCCGAAATGTCTAAAGCAATCAGCTGAGGTATGTGACAGGTGTCGGTCTATAATCTTTTTCTTTGTCCCATCGCCGTTCGAAAAAGTGTCGAAATCAATTTATTTTTTATCCCGCCTCCCTCCCGATCCCTCAATCCCTCCTTACCATCCGGAATAATTAATCGAGCCGCTGATCGATTGCTTTTCTTGACGGAATACAAATGCCGAAGTGGGGGAGTTGTATTTTTAATTTGACGCCGTCCTTTCAAGATGGATTCCCACCCGGGACAGGATCCCCATTGTCCCCACCCCAACAATTATCTAGGATTCAATTGGGCCCTCCCTCACGCGAACCAGAGGAAGCATTATATTTATTTTTTTCCCCCGGGGTAAGGGGTGCGTCATCGTAGGTCATAGCCATGGCGACGGTTTCCAGGTCTTTCTGTTAAATAACGGTATAATATGAACAAATATAGACTTGGATCAATTAAACATGTTTATATATCGGCTCTACAGATTCGGTAGGATTTTAGCCATCGACATTTTCCTCGTCAACTCGTTCTTGTAAGTTATATATTTTCTCAACCACCTCACTTCTATCCGGCGCCTCCTTCCATTACATCAACGAAAAAAAAAAAAGAATGCTATTATTTTAAGTATTAAAACATTTTTCACTAGAACAGAGGGTTTCTTATATATTAATTTTGCATGATTTCCTCTCAGATGTTTCTGTTCCACATCGATTTCATAGGAACATCCCTTCATGTACTTTTCCATTCTGCAAATATATGAAAAGAAAAACTTTTTTATTATCTTGAGACATAATACCTTAAGAATAAAATTGAAATAACACTACATAGTGACCAAATCAGTGTCGCCGTATCCATTAATATAAATAAAAAATTAAGTGAAAATTAAAGGTAAACGAATAGAAATCTTCTACAGTTACTGAAACAACGAAACTACATTTAAGAAAATATAAATTACTAATTACTATTTATTATTTTCCTAATTTAATAATTAAAAATCAAGAAAACTTAAAAATATTATAGTATTCACACATCGATCAGCCATCAGTAATGAAAATGACCACTTCTTTGTTGAATCAATTTTTTTTTAAATACGTAAACATCATATTTAAGTTTCTGCATTCTGTTTTTTTTTTTATATTCTTATTTTTTTTTATTTATAAAAATAGAAGTGCATATCATTCTCTACAGTTGAGTTCATTTCTAACGCAGAGCTTTAAGACTCCAGGAAGTCCAGAAAACTCCACATCCTCTTCCCCACACCCTGTCAACCATTCCGCTGATCAGCAATGCGTGTAAGCAACGATAAGGGACGCGCGAAGGCGTTATCTTCCTCTCTGAGAGGAACGCCTCGGTGAACTTGGAGGTTCCTGAAGACTCTAAAACACCGACCGAGGATAACTAAAAGCGAAGAAGGAGGGTGAAGAGTAAACTTCTTGGGCGAGAAGAAGGGCATTGATTTAAAACATCCATTTATTCTGTCCCCCCTCCCGGGCGGTAGGGGGCGCTTCTTTCAAATGCTATCCCCGCCCCCCTTCTCTTGACAGACAGATAATTAATAGCCACCCCCGGCGATCGATCTGTAGAGGGAGTTTTTAATTTTACGCGGGCTCGGAGCCAGTCAGTTCCCGGCCAAGATTAAACAGATTCCTCCGGATTTAATCTGGATCCGTCTGCAGTTCCGACGGGGGTCGCGGGAGACGCGATTGCGAGGGTGGAAGCGCAATTGCGATCCACTTCTTGACAACAAACAGAAGGAACGAGCAGCTCCTCGTAAAGAATGTCCGACTACCCCTCACCCACAGCTAATCCATTCCAACCAATCGTTCGAGACATTCCACCAAACAAGAGTATTTATTTTTATTAACGGAAGTATAGTTGTTTTTTTTTCTTGCTCTCAATATTTTTTCCATAAAACATGGTTACATTTTACCATTTTAGGAGGGGGGCGGGAGGATAGATTTCATCCCGAAAGTCTACCCCTCCCCTCCCTCGTAGATCCGGCTGTGCTATTAACAGTCGAGAAAAATAGTATAACCTAAACACATGATATAAACACATGATTCCTGATAAAATTTAAAGTCTTCCTTCCCTTCGTTATTCAAACTGGAGTGTAGGCTGAAGGAATTCATTTTGCTTATTAAATGAATCTGTTGATTTATTCAAATGTAACTGATACTTTTCTATAACAGTTACTTAGTAGTAGTTTGTTACATGCCTCTTATTTTATTTTATTATTACTTATTTTATTTTCGGTTTCAGAAAATTTTTTTTTCTTTTTCTACTTTTGTAACTGAAAGTGACCTTCTGAACCAGGCAAAAAAAAAAAAAAAACAATAAAAGAAAGGTATTTAGGGGAGGAAGGAAAGTTTTCTAGGTAAATTGGTCATTACCATTGCGTTGCGTCACTACCTCTTACCCTGTGACCGCCAGCTGGGCTTATTGTCCTCCGCAGATTTAGGTAACTTTCTCCCTGGACAATAAATCTGTCCATGACTTACTGGAGGGGGCCTGGAGATGGAGACATCAGTGTCAGTTCTGGGCTACCGTCGCTACGATCCGCTGCATCCAGGTAGGCCGTTTTTTTTCAAACATTTTTTAGTATAAGGCCTTCCAAAACTGATATTCTCGTTATAACATATATTTTTTTAAGGAATAGAATCTTTTTCTTCGTCTACATAATTAATACAGTTTAATTCTCAGTATGCATTAGATACCAATTTAACGAATCTCAAAGTAATAATTAATACTATTAATAAACTAAAGATATTTTAAATTACTTCCATAACTTCAATAATTATTTTGTATTGATATCATATGTATTGATAATAAAAAATAATGATTAAATAATAATGAAGTCATAACGTTTCGGAGCAACCCCCATTTTTCCTTCCTTTGAAATATTTATTCATTTCTACAATAAAATACATATCTGGACTTTCAGATACCTATTGATTATTTTTCATACACGAGCTGAATTAAATTTATAAAGTTAATAAGTTTTCCAACAATTAACATTTGTATTTTAACGGAAAAATTAATCATGTTTCAATTACAAGAACATAAATTAATATTTCGATGAGAACAACATTATTTAATTATCTTTTCTTATACACTGGCATGACAAACATATCTTAATTGTTTTATAAAAAATATACTAGTGAATTATAAATTACAGGAGTGTATACATATACATGTAATTGATCATTAATTTTAGGAAACAGTTCAGGTTTGCTCCGAAATGTGCAGTGTTACTAAAATAATTATTGAAATTATGAAAGTTTTTAAAAAATACCTCGGACATTATGTATCTTATACTTGGCTTCCTACCAAATTATAAATTCAAAACTATGAACTTTCGACTTTTTGAATGGTACATTTATTTGGTGAATCGAGTTTATTTTTCCGATAGTATAAAAGATGTTGAGTTAAAAATATGTACGTATTTCTTAATAAATATCATAACTTAACAAGACGAAAATACATAAATAACAATATAATGGTTTTTGACATTTTCTAAAAAAAAAAAAAAGTTTAAGATGAACCTCAATAACCAGATATTAAATTTAATATGACGAACATATACATTCATTAATTTCAGTAAATGGTAGAAATAAATTATCTAATAATTAAATTAGAGTGCTACCAGTGGGTAGTTTCTCAACAAGCGTGTTTCATGTAATAATATTTCTCTGTACAAATTTACTTGATGTATTTATACTAATACAGTTGTAAATATCATAATAAAAGTTTAAAAAAAAAATAATAAAATAGTAGTTTTTAATTTGTATTTTGTTTCGTGTATTAATATAACTAAAAGTATGACTGTTAGTTTTGTTTTCGTTTGTTTTTTTTTTACTCGATTCTAATAATTTATTATCATTAATATTATTTTTTTTTTTTGCCTTATGAATTTTCTGTATTAATTCACTATAAGCTATATTACTTTTTTATTTTTATTACAGTTTTTATTTTTGTTACGAATACATTATTATCTTTTATATATCTGTTTTTCTGTATTTCATTTTTTTTTTATTTTATTATATTGTAAATATGACATGAATGTACCTCTCAGCTTTAATACTCAGTATCCTTAAGTGTGGTAAAATGTATTATACCTCAATAAAATGACTAAACATTTAAAAATATATATATAACTAAATCGTAGTTAAAAATCTGATTCGCAATTTTTACTAAAAGAACATTTAAAAAAAAAATACATAGAATTTTATAGAAAAAGTTATAACAGTGCATTTAATTAATAATATTTTCTGATAAGAAAAAATTATTGATTTTAGATTTTATGTTGTCGAAAACTCCTCAATCATAAAAATTTAAGAAAATTACCGTTTATATTATTAAATCTAAATTAATAAAAAAATGCATATATTACCGTCTGGTTTTGATTTGCAATAACAGTTTTAAATGTTGCAGCTTACCTGAAAAAACAAACAAAAAAATCATTAGATGGTATTGATGATAGTTTATTTAGATTTATAAAAATACAATAAATAATACTATATTGTATATGATATATATCCGAGAGGAAGATTTGGAGGAAAGCTCTGAATTATACATAAACTTGCCGAAGGGATCTGCTTCGGGTGGCCGAGGTTTTTGGCGGGGTTAAACCGGGAGCAAAAACTTGGTGCGATAGACCGGAAGCGTCCGGCGGCTTATATCGCCTCTGGTATGAATATTCAGATGGAGGATGTTTAAAATGCATGAATCTCCTTGGGATCATGGGACTGAATTTATGCATTAAATAAGGGCACCGGAGTCCGGGAGGGATAGCCCTTAGTCCTCGATATCTCCTCAATGCCGTCGGCAAATATTCATAGCTCTCGGGAAACGGTGTTAAGTAAGCTGTCGACTTAAGGAAGCGCGAGGAGGCAGGAATAACTTTATTTCGAATGCGAACTCGGGAGTTGAAAGAGAAATTCCAATGTAATAGGAGAAGTAACATTTAACTGAATAAAGGTTAAATAAAAGTGGCGTTTTTGATAGTAACAAACGATTGTTTACAAAAAATATATATATTTAAAGTGATATATCTCTATAGAGTACTTTTTTTTTTCTTACCCCTCAGTAGACTTTATTTATAAACAAATACAATATACAAACTGATATAAGTATATACAGGTTACATTCTCCTTTTATTACCCAAGGGTATTCTAAGGTGGGATAGGGAATATGTTTGCTGTATGCATTTTTGGCACATGTGGAACGAGGCCTTTTATTTTCCTTTTATTTAATAGACTTTATCTCTATAGCTTTTTTTTTTTTTTTTTTTTGTTTCTAACCTCCTAAAAAGTTTATTTAATAAATTACATATAAAGGTATAACAATACTAATATATACATATAATAAAGTCCTTCCACTGCCCGAGGGCATCTCTATAAAGAAAAAATATATGCTGCCCAATTACATTGGATTACACGGGATACTACAAGACTTCCTGAGACAGTTTTTAAAGTTTTTATATTATGACTAGTTGGGCCGGGTAAATAATTCGCAAAGGATATAGGAGAGTGAATAAATGACAAAATAATAAGTAAATTAAATAATTCAACGCATCATAGGAATCATTTCCTTTTTTTTTCTTTAATTATAATCCACTAAGGAAAAGAAAATAATTATAAAACTTCATTCATGTTTTAAACACAAATGTTTACCAATCACAACAACCTGTCCCTCAGTTAATAATGGCATGAATTCGAATTTTTTTTTTTTTTTTTTGTTAAAAGAGCTCTATTGTAATCATAATAATCATTGAGAAAACAAAATCAATGGTTAAATAATTTTCTTTATTTTTCCAGTGTTATGGAAATTCGTATTTTTTGGAGGTATCTTGAAGCCCAAAATACAAATCTAAACTTTATTTCTCCTAAAAAAAAATATTTGAACCCAGTTGCTCTTTAGGTCGTCCCAAATATTTGAAATTTAAAAATTTGTAAATAATTGTAAAAAAGTTGTTTTTTTCAAGAGGAGGGAGAGGAAATTTAGTAATTTATCAAATAATCATAGAAAAAAATATATCATGTTATGTTAAATGTTTCTTATCCTTCATAACTTTTTTCCCCTGAAATTTCAGGAAGGTGTGAAGGTATTTTCGCCACCTGAAGGAGATCTTCAAAATAAGGGATCCATCTGATTAATTACTTTTTTCTCTCTACATATTTTCATTCCATCTGTCATGGAAAATAGGCAAATTTGAATCACCGAAATAAAAGTAACTAACCAAATTTTAAATTTATTATAATCACTAAAGTAAGTTGAATATTGAATTCATTATAAGAAAACAGCAATCAAAAATCATGTATGTAGTTATATTTGAATTTGTGTTAAGATAAAAATAAGATAAATTGTGATTATATGACTAACAATTACAATTTCTTTATAACATAATTCACTTTATCGATCCTTATCTGGTGATATTTTTTATTATATATAAACAAACATTGCGTTCAATAACTAATAAGTTCAATATTTTTTTTTTTTTTGAATTCACATAGTTTGAATTAAAAATAATTAAATTACCTATACCTATAAAAAATTGTAATATATTTTTCTATTGGTATATATTTAATACATCAATATATTATTAATAATATAAATATGTAAAATACTTTGTCTCAACATTTATATTTTTCATTTCCTGTTCAATTGTTTATTCACACACCTCAATGCAAAATTCAGAGAATTGTATGGTAATAATATGATAATGGTATGTCAGGCATTGGGAAGGACAGTTACCCAGCAGCTTCCCATTCATGATTATGTTTCATAGGGAGATCTCTCTTCCAGCTCCTTTTTAGAGTTCTTAAAATAAAGGATATGTTAAAGACTTTGCAATATATTACGGTTTATAGCTGGTAGCTGTTGGTGTATTTCATATGAATTTGCTAATAAGGATAACGAATAAATAATAGATTTAAAAAAAATACAAATAAATGAACAATAAAAAAACACAAACATACAGAGAGAGAGAGAGAGAGAGAGAGAGAGAGAGAGAGAGAGAGAGAGAGAGAGAGAGAGAAAGAGAGAGAGGGAATGAGAGAAATGTTTAAAGGAGTGATAGTATTAAACGTGCGAATAGCTAGAATTATTTTCATGAAAGCGATTAGTGTCAAAACTCTAGTTCATTACCATTTTATGTAATAAATTTCAGAAAAAGCAATATATTTTTTTAATTTCTTTTTATTTTAAAAACTTAATTTTCGTAATTAATTTATTATAATTCATCCCAGGTCACAGAAAAACAATAATTTAATGCTTTGTGGTAGTTTATTGTAGTTATTCTTGCTGAAAACACAAATACACTGAGTTGACGGGATATCAAATCACATAAATTTTTATAGAACATGGGTGGAATTTCAACTTAATCAGGAAAAAAAAAACTTTACTAATATGTTATTAAAGCTTATTAAACAAGGAAGTTCTTAGACAAGTGGGGTATCTCTAGTGAAGTTAAAATATGGTAAAAAGAAAAGA